CTGCCGCGAGGGCCTCTGGTTGAAAAACCTTTTAGCTGAACTGAATATACGACCTCCCTCAGCCATACCACTACATGTCGACAATGAAGGTGCCGAGGCTCTTGCTCGCAATCCTCAACATCATGCCAGGACTAAACATATCCACACCCGTTATCACTTTGTCCGTGAATGTGTTAAGAATAATGATATCGCTATGTTACACGTTTCCACCAAGGATATGCTTGCGGATCTATTAACAAAACCTCTTCCTCGAGTGATGCTTGAACGCCATCGTGCCATGTTTGGCATAGTTTGATTTTTTTTTCTTTCTCTGTTTTTGTATTATGTCTCTTCTTGTCTGATTTTTTTTTACTGTCTCATTCTTAGTGTATATTTGTGTGTGTTTATTTTTTTTTCTCATACTCAGTGAAGTTAGCTGGACGCAAGGGGGGGTGTTGGAATAGTCACGACGTCATTACCTGAACATCGCTGTATTCCATTATCTTTCTCACGATTGATGTGCTTACCATCTTCCTTCACATCTCATCATTTGTAGACCATCTAGTGTTTCTCATCTGATCCTCTGATCAATGATCAGTGATCGCTATTTCTCATCGGATCAATCTACTTGTGTTCTCTTTCTACTAAGCTATTACATAAAGCTTACGTATCAAACTTTGTATATAGACTTCCTAGAGCCACACCAGGAAAGGGCTTTTCTCCTCACCCTTTCCGCATTTCACTCGTGTGCTCTAGGTAGGTCTATCTTTGTTTTCTTTTGTCTTTTTCTTATGTTTGTGTTGTCTCATGAAATACTAAGGCTATTACCCTTTCCGCATTTCACTCGTGTGCTCTAGTCCATCGCAACACAGCTACGATCATCGCAACTTCGGACGCAGTGGGTCGGCAGTAGGTCCTTATGTCGTGACCTTCAGCACCAGATTCGGTTGGCGGAATGGATTTAAGTTTCAATGACACCGATTTCGATTATTCAATGATCTGTTTTGTCATCTTGAACTGGCGCGCATAGGGATTGTGGTCATACATGAACTCTTGAATTTGTTTAATAATATCAATTCTAATTGTTTTCAATCCAGACATATATTTCCGATGTGCTGCTTCATTTTGAATTTGATTACTCATGACGTAGATTTGCGCGAAGGCAGGGTCAGCGCCGGTCCTTGGTAAAATAAGCCCCATATCGTGATAGAGAGCCCCTTGAATCTTAAAGCAACGGATGCCAAACGGGCCATCGACACTGTGTTTGACCTCGGTCCCCAGTGAAGTGAATGCCAAGCAGTTGTTATACGATCGAATGTTATCCTGAAAGTTTTTGCTACCTAAGTTTGCAAATTTATTAAAATCTTTTTTGTGATATGGCAGCGTAGATGTTACCTACGTTGATCGTTTCCTGTGAACAATCTCTGGAGAAACTCTGGTACTGGCGGGAAGTCGAAGTAGTGTTCCGGTAGAAGTACTTGTCCACCTTGGCAACATGTGGAATATACTGGTCCTGATTTCTTCGTGTCTCGTGTTCGTTCGCTGATCCAATGCACTGCATCGCACATCGAGCAGATATCTTCGCAGGCACCCAAATCGTGTGGTATTTCAGCTCTAAAACGCAACTTGAGCGAATTTTCGTTATTTTCCCATTTGGCTCGGACTGCAAGCGGCATCTTCGAACAAAATGAGAGTGGTCAGGAAAATGGTGGTTGTTGCTTACATTCGGTTTGGCTGAAATTCAGTGACCCCGCTGATTTGCGAGCAGACCAAGGCTTCGGCTCAGACATACGCGGTTGCCGGAGTGTCAGCTCATCGCCGGATCGTTCAAATAGTGATCTTATAAAACATTGTGGTTCTTCATCTTCCAGACACACAGCACGTTGTAGATCAAGGGAACAGTGGCTCGTTATGGAACGTAAGGGTGAAATTAAGTGTTCTACTACTGTGGCAAGATGAACATTTAGTGTCACTCATTTCGCATCAAGGCTGGAGCATACATCAATAGTAAAAGGTAACATGATTGTAGCAAACAAAATGAGCAGCATCAGATAATAAGGGGTTTCAAGTTACAAATTTTTTTACGTTTTTTTTTACAAACGGTCAAGTTTTTTGCAACAACGTAAAATTTTAAACTTGACCGTCCGTAAAAATCCAGCATGTTGGATGATTACGGTTGTAAAATGAAAGTTGACCATTTCAGATACCCGAGCTCTTTATGACCAACCTTGTAATGAGATATCACTTGTTGAACAAGTGAATCAATTTTAATCCATGCCTACTTGACCTTTTCGAAGGTCTCAAAAACCATTCGAAACCCGTTTTCCAGATGGTTCGAACATCACAAAGAAAAAAAACTATTCACACTGCTGAAGAGCTTCTTCAAATAGCCGAAGAAGATGAAGATGACAAAATGATGGAAGAAGAAATACTTGGTGAACATATTGTTCCGACATTTGGCGATATCCTGTTCGATGACGATGAAGAGATGGCCTTCTTGACCGATCTCCTCTTCAAACGATGTCGACGATGCCGAAGATCTCTTGGAAATCCTGGAAAACCTCCGTTACCATGATGCACGGTGGAAGATGCCATTCGAAATGGACTTCAGTTTAAATGACCTACTTCGTGAT